CTTCCCTGCCTGCTGCCTGCAGCGCCGGGCTGGGCCGGGCAGCAGCGCCAGCAGGAGCCACTCACAAAGGCGTGGGGGGGGAGTGTGGGGGGGGGTGGAAGCTTTGGCATCAGAGCTCAGGAGAGGTTGAGGAGTCGAAATATTAAGAGGAGGGTCCTGGAAGTGGCAAGGCGTGAGCCCCCCTCTAGTTTTGCAAAGGGGTCCTTGGGGAAGGAGGTGGAAAGCGGGGGTGAGAAGGGACAAGCGAGGTGCAGGCGCAGGTGGCGCGGAGAGGGTCGGAGGCCGGCCGGCCGGCCCGACTCAGCGTGGGCGTCATCTGTGCCCCTTGATGCATTTTGCAGTTATCGCTCAGGACAGCTTGATGTATCGCCCCAAAACAGTGCGTGCCCATAAAAGTAGCCCAAAATACCCCAGAAAAACCCCACAACCCGCAAGCACCAAACATTTCTTGCAACTGATCTCCAAAAGTAGCCCAGCTGGGTGGGGAAACCACCTAACTGGCAACACTGGGAGGCCCCAGAGCGTCTTCTCCTTGCCGGCTGCGTTGGGCTTTCTGGGGAGTCGCGACAGCGCCCCAAGATGTGGCCGCTCAATTGTCCAGCCAAGGCTGCTGCTAAACTCGGTCCTAATGCAAACGGGTTTCTTCCACAGAGCAGCGGTTCTCAAACATTTTTATATTCTTAAAAATTATTGAGGACCCTTGGTTTATGTGGGTTATACCTATCAATATTTACTGTATTAGAAATTAAAACAAAATTTTAAATATTTGTTTACTTATTTGACTTCATAGATGCCCTGAAAAGGTCTTGGGGACCCCCAGCATCCCCCAGACCACCTCCTGAGAACTGCTGGACTAGAGAATCTCAGAGATTCGTGAAGACCGAAAATTGGGGTGTGCTCTTGCGTTTGAATGGTCTGGTTCGTGCGAGACGGAAGTGGTCTGTGTGGTGCTGGCTACCAGTTTGGCTGGCCTCAAAAACGGGTTGGAGCAATTCACAGAAGTCCTGGGGATCCATGGCTCTTAGCCTGGACGGCAGTGGGCCTGACCCTGAAGGGCAGCTGCTGGGAGACCCAGGGGCTTCCTTGGGCAGTTGGTGGGTCCCTGGGAGATCTGACAGCTGGACTGGATGGGCCAGGGGTCCCGCCCAGCAGGGCATGGCTGCTGTCCTTCTCTTCTGAAGCCCCAGGGCTGCCTGTACGCGCCCAGGACAGCGCCCTCAGTGGCTGGTCCCTGGCTTTACTTCTAGCAATTGTGATGCCAGGCCCTGTGCAGGCTTCAAAAAATACAAAAGGAAAATAAAAAGAAAATGTAAAAGCATCTCCAAACCGAGAGCAAGAATAACCCATTAACCTGCTGAGCAGAAAGACTTCCAAGAATCCGGGCTGACCCCCGTGCTGTCAAACCCCCATGGCTTCCTGGGCGGGTGCAGCCAAGTTCCAGCAGGGTTAGTGCTGATGTGACCTGCCCAATGCACTTTATTCATTTATTATTTCAATTGATAGGGCTGCCCATCCCCTGCTTCTTAGGGCGGTTAACCAAAAGCTAAAAACAAGAAGTAAGAACCCTCCCCCCACCCTTAACATGTACCGTGCCAAAGACACCTCCCGATCCAGCGCCTGGGGGACGGGCAGAGTCAGGGCCACCCATATCTTCTTGTTCCTCTTCTTCCCCTTGCTTCTTCTGTCTTCCTATCTCCTCCATGATGTCGGGCGGGTCTTCCGCTCCCTATGTGGACATGGATGAAGACGACACTGGGATTCAGCCCAGCAGCCTGTTCCGAACGACAGTTCTGTGCCCTGGACTGGAGCAGTGTCCTCCCAGCATGGGCCCCATTGCCGAAGAGGAGGACAGGGCCCAAGTGAATGGAGTGTTGAGGGATGGGAGAGACCCTTCCAGGCAGGTGGGGGATCAGGTTATGGGTCTGCAGTACCTTGGGGAGGGAC